TTGTTTATTGATTCCAGTATATTGGGATCAGGACAGGCCAGAGGTTTGAGGTGGCCTTGTGTTGTTTACGTGGCATGTCAGGAATGCAGCAGCTCTATGTGATTCTGCCTGTTTTTGGTGGGGAAGGCAGGCAGCTGCAGAGAGGGACCGATGTGCTGAGGCCAGCTCAGTTATTCAAGGGCTGCATCTGGTCCCAGATGCCTGGCTTCTCCTGCAGGGCTGGAGGAATTCCTGTCCCCTGAAGCCAAGGGGTGAGTGGGGTGAGAATGTTGGGCTCTTGGAAAATTCTGGTCATGGGACCTTGACATGCCCTGAAGCAATCACATTTTGGCATGGGAAAAGAAGAAGCTCCCTCTGTCCCTCCTTTGCTCCCTGTCTCCCTCCCTCCCTTCCCTCACTTTCCTTCCTTTCCTTACTTCCTCATCCTGCCCCTCTCTCCCACAAATAATATACCCATTTACCTCTTTCCTTTCTCCCCAGGATAGTGTATATTTGAATGGAATTTCAGTTGCTATTAAGCACACCCAAACAATCTGTCAAAACTTAAGATGTTTGGAAACTTGACTATTCAGAAGGGAAAATGTTTTTTTTTTCCTTCAAAACAAACAAGCAAAAGCTTCCTTGGCAAAACAACTGCTTCCAAACAAACAAATAACCAGCCCTGAGCCAGCAAGGCAGTACCGACTCACAAGGGAGGTTTGAGTGCTGTAGGGACACCAGTTGTAGAGGAATTGCCATGGAGCCACGAGCAGCTGGGGGAGAGCAGCTACTGTCAGTCACTGTCAGCTCCAGTGGATCTGAAACGAGTGAGCTAAAGTGGAAAGACTCTGTTTCAGTGCCATGTCTCTCTTTTGGCCTTATCACTAATAAAACTCACAGCCCCTCTCTGTGCCCTTGTTCTCAGTGACCTCTGGGAATCAAGAATTTTCTCCTTTGCAAAAAGGTCTGGGCATTGATGATGCCCTCAGGACACCAAGGTGGTGGCAACCTGTTGCTGATGAGTGTTTAGCTGGTCAGAGGATGCCATGTTTAAATCTCAAGGGTAATCTGCATTTCCCTAGTTAGGTGTGTTGCAACCATGCTCAGATAAAAGTGCCTCAGGTGTGAGACCCTCAGGGAGGATACAATTTTGGGGATACTTGAAGGCTACTCTTAAGCAAACCTACATCCAGTCTGTGAAAGAACTGGTGGGAAAGGGGCACAGTGGGAACAAAGTGGTGCCCAGCAAACTGGTGCAATGCCTAAGAGAGCTGGGAAAGCTATGTACCACTCATGGTAACCATCAGGATTTCCCTACCTTACGTCCAGACTAAACCTACACTTACTGTCTTGTCTTGGGCAACTCTGAGTTTCTGAGTCCCAGAAGTTTTCTGTAAAATTCCTCTTCACAGGGACACTTCCCAGCTTGTGCAAATGGTATGAGGTGGATGGGTTACCTTCTTCCCCCCCAGTACTGTGTCTGCCTGTCTCCTCCCATCCGTGAGTGCTCTGCTTCTGCTTCTCTGTTGGCTTTTTTTTCTACTTATCTGCCTCATCTTATTACAGTTAATTTATAACACTTCTTACATTGATGTCTATTAGCTCTGAAAATGGCAGGACTTCATTATGTCCTTTTTAGACACTTATTGTCCCCCCATTTTGATAATGTTCATGTATCTTTCCCCACTCTTTTCTCAGGCATGCTCTCCAGAGATGCCATTGTAAAGAAATATGTTTTCCATGGAAAGCATACCAGGGCATGTAGACATTGCCCCGTACAGAGATGAGAGCTTGTATTCCCTCCTGCAGTTCAAAGTTTGAAAGAGCAAAAGTCAATGCTCTCCTGCTGGTCATCTGCCTTGCCTGCCTGCTCTCTGCCAGTGTGGTGTCCCTCATGTCTCCCCACTCTGACCTGCTGAATTTTCCACCTACTTCTTGCTAGTTTTCCAGAGAAGAGCAGTCTGAAAAGATGTACTACTAGTGCTTGAGATGCAAGGGGAGCTGTAGCAATGTGGTGATGCCCTGCAGGGATTAAGGAAGGAAGAGTTCTTTGGAGAGGGAATTAAGGAAGCACCAGTGGAAAGTCCAGGAGGTTTCTCTGTCTGGTAACACTCACAGCAAGAAAAGTTACCCAAAATGCAATCATTGAGAGCTGTAGTGCACTTATAAGCTGAGGATTGCCTCTCACCTCTGGTCTGCACTTGTTCAAGCTCTGCCAGTCTTGCCACACTGACTGATTTTTGCCTTTCCAACTTTACTGCCAAAGATAGAGATCGGCACGCTCCCCAAGTGTTTGTCAGTAGACCCAGGCAAATCTGTTGCAGTAAAGCCTGAACACACCAAAATCTTTTTCCTTGACAATGTCATGTTTGCCGTGTGGTATCTGCCATGCTCTTTCTTTCATCACCCCTGCCCTGGCAGTCCAGAGTCTAAAAATATCACCTTCTCAGCTGCCAAAGCAATAAAATCTCTATGTGTGTGTTTTCTGTTTCCTTTATTCATCTTTTTTTGTTTTTCTTCTGGATTATCTCTCTCTCTTGTGTTGGTTCTGTATTCCTTTTATCTAAGTTCAAACACCTTGAAAATCCCAGTGTAGGATACACTTTTAGCAGTTTCTTTTTTTTTTTTTTTTTTAATTATGTTGCTCTGTTCCCTTGGATGACAAAGCAGCACAGGCAGGAGCCAGCTCCGGGACTGCCTGCCTGTGCCATGATTCAGCAGGTTGTAAAAGGAAGGAATGTCTTCTCTTTTGGGAAAGGGTGGGAGAGAAAAGGGAAGCATGTAGGACAGACGTGTGTGTATATTTTACTTCCTGGTGCTTCTGTGATTGCAGTGGGAATATTACACTGTCCTGCAGTTGTGTTGGAGATAATAAAGTGTTTCAAGAGAGGGGCTTGAAAGATATTTGGTGGAAAAATGGGTTTAGCCTAGATTAAGGAGGCAGCTTGCTAAAATATATTACTTTGTTACTCTCAAAAGTATTCTTCTGTGGTGTTTTTAGGTTCTTATTTAAAGTACTTGGTATCTCCTGTGCTGCTATTTGTGTGGCTGTTGCTATATTGCTATAGTATGTGGCTATTTTCCTGCCTGTCTGTCTGCACCTTCTCTTTAGCCTCTGGGTGCAGCTCAACAGGGAGGTTTAGGAGCCAGCTTGGTGGCTTTCTGGAAAAATGTGTTTGATTCCAAACTTCAGTGCAAGCAGGGATTTGCTGATTTCATTTATGCTGAGCCTTATTTCTGAACACCGGGGCCCTGCTTGCATTGTCCTAACGCGGTGGAATTTTCTCTGTGGGGAGACTTATGCTGCTGACTCATTGCATCGACTCAAAACAGATTTATGTTTACAAAGGGGAAAAACACCACCCTTTTCTTCCTTACTTTTTCCTGCCCTTCCTAGCCATGTTGGATTTGGTATTCCTACAGAATGCCTATCTCCTGGAACATGCTGCAGCCCGCAGCCCACACGGGCGTTTGCTTTGAACTGGGTGGTTCATGCACAGTTTTCCATTGAACTGTTCTCAGCTGGAGCAGCTCAGAGACAAGTTTAAAGAGTTGTGTTACTGGCAGGGTACCAGGAGCCTCTTTTCCTCACCGTGGGTCCACATTCCCTGCCCTCCCACACGGCTGCACGTGTGCTGGGACACAGGGATACCTCAGCTTTAATCTTGTGACAGTGGTTTGACCCCATCAAACCCAGCACCTCCTTCGGCCTCTCCATCCCACCTGGCACAGCAGGGGCAGTTATTCCTGCATTCCCCTGTGTTTCTGTACTGGTTCGATGTACAAATATTGAGCGTTTAACAGTATTTCACCTCTCAGAAATACATTTTGGAAATACAGCCCTGCTTAAAGCTTCTGGTCTGCTGAGCAGCACTGCCATGTTACAAACCCATTGGAGCACGTGTTCACCATTTTATTGAAACCTCAGCTTGTAACTGAGCGAAAAAAAGACTGGGCACACCGAATTTTCTGAATAGGCAGGAAAACCCAAACCCCCTTTTTTAAAGAGCTACAGAACGAGAAGACATAAAGACGGCTTTGCAGTTTAACCGGAGGGTGGTGGGTGAGGCGGGTGAGGGCCATGACGGTGTGGGCGGGGCGTGAGGCGGTGCTGGCCCCGCCCCCGACCTCCCCTTACCGCCCCCTACCGCCCTCAACGTGCCGTCCGCCACCGCAGCGCCTCTGGACCCAGACTCGTTGAAACCCCGCCCACCCCCCAACGGCCTCCCAGCAACCACCCAATCACGCAGCACTTCCTGCACCGTCGCCAGCCAATAGCAGCGCTCCACGAAGGGCAGCGCCGTTGGGGGCGTGTTTAGGGGCGGGCCGGTCGCTGAGCGGCGTTGTCGACAGCCAATCAGAGTGCGGGACCCGCGGCCGGGGAGGCGGGCGTGCGCGCCGTCCGCCAATGGGAGGGGCGGAGCGCGGTGGGGCGGGGGCGGGGTCGACGCGCGGCAGAGAGGCGGGCGGCGGGCGCGCGGGCACGTGACGGAGGCGAGGGGAGCCCGGGGGCGGTGGCGGAGGCCGGGGTGGCGAGGGGTGAGTGTGTCCGTCCGTCCGTCTGTCTGTCCTCTGCCTCCGCAGCTACCGCGGCTCCGGGACATCGGGGCGGGGGAGCGGCGAACGGGCTCGCCCGCGGGGTGAGGGCGGCGGGGCAGCCGGGCCTGTCGGGGGGCGTGCGGCGGAGCGCGGCTGGGCCCCAGGGGGTCGGCGGGCGGCCCGTGCGGGGCCAGGCCCCGGCCCCGGCCCCGTGCGGGGGTCGGTGGACACCCCCGGGGGTCGGGGCGAGGCTCCTGCGGGCGGGGGCGGGCGCAGGGTTGCAGCGGGTCCCGCTCGGCACCCGCAGGGCTCGGGGCGGCCCGGAGAGAGCGGCGGCTCTTCTGGTAAGTTCTGTGAGCGCCGGGCCGGGCAGCGGTTGGAGCCGGGGGTGCTGGGGCGGGAGCGGCCTGGGACCGAGGGTGGGAGGTGGATGTGGGCTGGATGTGGTCTGGGTTGGGTCTGGCTATGTATTCTAATGTCAAAAATAGCCGTGAGCCGCCCGAACGTGCTCCCTGTGAAGCCCCGCAGAGGGAGGAGAGGAGGTGGGTGCGGAGCGTGTCGTGGGGCCTGGCTCGGGCCGAGCGAGGGGAAGGAGAAGCCTCTGGAAAGGGTGAGCTCGGGACGCAGAGCTGGAGGCCAACAGGTGAGGTGCAGACAAGGAAGGTCTGAGAATTGAGAATCTGAGGGACTCATAATGTGCAGTTTAATTTTTGCCTCCCAAATATTATTCGTGTGGAGTGTCTTCAAAATAGTCTATGAATGACACCTCAGTTCTGGTTTCTGGCTGAAGATTGTGTTGTGTGCTTTTAAAACAAACCCCCCCCCAGACCTTTGAATTAAAGTATGTACAGCCCGCTGCTTTCTTGCCTGTTCTGATTCTAGAGAGTGAACTTTCACATGCAGATTTGTGGTTAAGAACTTTCTAGGCTGCAGAAAGAGAAATGCTGCAGGTGATTTGGTTGTGAGGGGAAGCAGACATGTATTAATGGTAATAGTAATATTAAAGATCCAGACTTTAATATGATGAGTGTTAACATAATTAATGCTACAGCGTTTCTGCAGAGCATTGTGGAAAAGTCTTTCTGGAACTTATGTAGAGTATGTTAGATGTATGAAAACTGGTCTCTAGGCATGTAATGCATTTCTAAATGCAGTGTGTTTACTTAACGTTGTCAAGCAAGCATAGTTAACACACAGGTCTTATGGAACAAAATTACCCATTGTGGTTTTGGTTGTTGCAAAAAGACTGCAAGAAGATAGCGGAACTATAATAATGTATGAGGTAATGCAGATAAAATACTGGTTAAATATAGGTTGAAATGTGTTACTCTGGTTTCACGCTGATGCACTTGACTTAAAAGACCACCTTACTGTGGGCTTGTCCAAAACACTTAATAAAACTAGGAAAAGCATTGAGTAAAACTTCGTGTTTGTATTAAGTCTTAGTATTTCTAGTTTTAAAAAAATAACATTTTGAAGAAGATATTTGTGCAATTCACAGGCAATGTCACAAGCTGTTTGTAAGGTGTAAACTGTTTCTGGGATCAAATACCCTCCTAGGAAAGGAATCTAATGCAAAATAGTAACAAAGTTTCCAGCTTCCATCAGATTACTCTGGCATTTGGTGTGCTGCAGCACTTCCCCCTCAGTGAATGAATAAATCCTTTACTGAGAATTTGCTGTGATTTGTACTTAGCCCTGCCCTTCACTTCCTTTTCTGGCCTTTCAATTTCTGCCTCTGGTAGTAATCATGGTGGCAGCCTGTTCTTGCTGGAATCAATTCTGTAGCAGGGCAAACTTGAATTGATTTCTAGGCTTGATGGTCTGAAAGATCTTGGGGTGCCTCCAGATCTTCCCCCACCTAATACAATTTTCCTAGCAGCCCATCTGTTTTATGGTCAAAAAGCCTCATGGCTGTGTCTTCACCCTCCAAGGACTTCCAGTTCTGCTGGAAGGATATCTCTGCTGACAAACAGTATCTGCTGTTTGCTCCTGTACTGTACCCGCACTGTTGTACATTATTTTTAGAAACTGGCATATTTGAAATGCCTATTAAAAGCAAGCCTTGTTGTTGTCCCTTTTCACACCTAATCCCTTGCCTGGTTTGTGCTCCTTACAACCCAAACAAGAGGCAGCTTTTTCTGTGGGGCTCTCCAAGAGAGGTTTGGCTAATCCTTTCCAGAAGACCTTTTTTCCTCATGTAGCAGTGTATCCAAGCCACCCTCTCCTTAAAAAAAAAAAAAAAAAAGTGGGGGAAGGGGTGCAAACCACTCCTACAGAGAGCTCTTGCCTCTGGGCCCTTGTAAGCAAGGTGGTCTTGCTTTAGCTTTGTCTGCTCTTCATTGAGTTATGATGCTAAAGGCAGAATCTTCACAATGCTGGAAATTGTCTGGCTGCAGAACTGAATATATAAGGGGGAAAAGTATTGTCTGCATCATATGAATTGCTGCATATATATGAACATAATTTTGTTATGCTCCCCCCTTAGAGGGGTGGTAGGGTGCAATACTGGGAGTTAATGCAGCGTTTGACCTCACAGTTGTTCAGCTTTGCTGTGTGTCCATCCCCCAAGTCTGCCCAAAGACAGGTCAGGCAGGTGCAGGTGACAAGACCTGTGCTTGGAACTGAGGCATTAAGCTGACTCTGCTGCCAACAGCTTTGTTTCCTTTATCCTTGGCTACTTTATCTCATGCTCCTTCCACTTGTACTGCTACAGCTCTTTGCTTTTGCTGGGTTGGCCTGGGGTATTGATACAGGGTTAAAATAACAGGACAGAAGGACTTCGAGCCATCTTAAACCAGCTGCTGGTTCATCATGAGGCTGTGTAAACAGTTACCCTGGCACCGCAGAGGAGGCAGGATGTGGAAGGCGGAGAGATTGTGAGCTGTACAAGAGATTTCCTCTGCTCTTCAGTAGTTCTGACTTTAAGAAACTAGTGCACTACCAAGTAGGGTAACCAAGCCTTTACTCAGAAACCACAGAAAACTCATTTGAGAGGGAAAAAGGGTATCTGTGTCTCAACCTTTCTGTTCTTGTCTCTTTGCATTTTTTTTTGTGTGTTGCGATGAAATTTCTTTACTTTTGTGTCTTTAAATTTTTCTTCCCTAATTCTTACCTTGTATGAGAATGCATTGTGCTTGTTTTTACTGATGTGCTTCTGCTGAAATCCGGTGTTTGGAACACAGGACTTTGCTAGCAGAATTTGCTCTTCCCATGCTTAAGTCACTCAGCTGAGACTTCAGATGCTGCTGAAATAGAAACCACTGATGCTCATCCAGTTAAATTGCAGAGGTGTAGTTCATAGTAAGTGACTTATTTTTAGTAAGACCCATTTAATGTGACTGTTAATTCTTTTAAAAAGTAAGTAAGTAGTAAACTACATAGCCAGTAGCCATTCAAATGTAGTTATATATTCTGAAATATGCTGTGTTAAGAACTGGCTTGATGAACCACTGAAATAGGTTAGTAACCAAGGAGATGATTAAACTGGTTTTGCAGGCTCTGTTTGACCTGACAGGGAAGTTACTAAATAGTATGTTCTGGAAGTATGATAACAGAGGACTTGAACATCTTTTTTGTGAGCCCTTTCACTCTCTGTCCATGGGACATGTATATGTTAGAGAGAATGGTGACAACTGTTTGCTGTATGAGCCAAGTGTTTCCAGTGTCGTGCCAATAAATGAGAAGAACTTTTCCCTTTATGCCCAGAGAAAGGGCAATTCTAAATAAAAATTAGTCTCTGAAACTGCATGACTTTCTTGAAAGCCTTGAACTCCAAAGGTAGCAATCCCTTAGCCACGTGTTGAGAGTGGGGCAAGAAGCTGATTCTCTCTCTGAATCTCCAATTTGGTTTCATTTTGACTTTGTAAAGTCTGTAGTGCAGCTCTTCCAAGTGTCTCTTTTCAGTTCTCTGCTATAGGTCCTGTAAGTTCCAGGGGAAAATACCTCAGCCTTTTGACAGTCAGGTGAACAGCTTAACTATCAACTCTTAGGTTTTCTGGTTTAGAAGCTGGCTGTGGGTGGGCACAGAGGGAAAACAAGTGATCTGTAGCCCTGGGAGTCTTGAACTCTCTTCCTGATTTGTACTTTGGGATTACTCTGTGGTAGTTTTCCCTTCGGTCTCAGTGGTGTGCCAGTGTCTGTAAGCGTCTGAAGACCGGATTTAAAAAAAAGGAGATGGAGTTTTAGTCATCTCTGGCTTGAAACGTTGTTATGGTGAAAGGGAGGGTTGCACTGAAGTAGAATGGAGACGTCAGAAGCTCTCACCTATTATGAAAGTGTTCCTTTGTTAATGGCTCTCGGCAATTGCATGATCAGAAACACACCAACCTTCAGAAATACTGCACAGTTAAAGCTGAAGAAGGGGAGTGCAGGCAGACTAAAAAATGGCTAACAATGGTGCTTGCTTGGAAATTGGACACTTCTTCAAGGGAGAACTCTGATCATAATAGAGTAGGTGGCTGGGTGTCTGAAGGTTCAGACTACATTTTAGGTGACTAATTGAACACCTGTAGTTGCCAGCAACTTAAAGCTCCACTAAAATTTGATTTATGCCTGTTTTGTATAAAACCTGAATTTCTTCTCTCTCCCACTCCCCTCCTGTTCTATTTAGGAATAACCTAATTTACTAACACATAATTGTGTTTGTGTTGTGTCCCTAAGGGTTTTGTGAAGTGAATTTGAAATTTCCTCCTGTAGCACTACATCCATTATGGACAGAAGTAGATTTTTAAATATTGAAAATGTGTGCTTCTCTTAGATTGCTCTTCTGAGAACATAGTGTCTTTTATTTCTTTATAATTCAGTCAGTTTGTGTATTGTTACAGGTTAAACAGAATAAGGAGCTTGGCATGGTAACTGGCAGTTGCAGAAGAAGCTACCAACCTGTACTCAAGGTGTATGAATGGTAGCTTATGTCAAATTTGGGACTGATTTAATGTGTAGGAAATGTCCTAAGCATCTTTCTGTAGGAATATAAATCTGTGACTACTGCTTGCCAATGATTATAAAGAGGTAAGGACATGGAACTGGATTAGCTTCTCTTCAGACTTTTTTAGCTTTTTTTTTTTGGGGAGGGGTGAGAAAAAACTAAGCTTGCTTGGAAACTTGATCAGACAGTACTTCTCCCTTGAAGTGAGGGTCAGTGAGGGCTCAAATTTGAACAGAACATTAACTGATAAATGTAGACTTGTAGGGTAGATACTGTGGCTTTATCAGGAGTAGAGATGTGCAGTGCCAAAGCTTCTACCCCTGCTGTGTGGTCACTGGCAGAATTGTCTGGTTCCACTAGAATGCTTTGACAGAAGAATTTCTGGAGCAGCCTTGCAATATGAGGCCATGCAGCTTTGCCACTTGGGTGCAATCATTTGTCAGCAGCAAATGGACTTTGGTAAATATTTACAAAGGGTTGTAGTTGGGGGGGATTGTGAGGTAGGTAATTATTAAATATGGAGTCAGTACTGGCAAGAAAGTTGTGGGGGATGATTTAATTCTTTCACCAAAACTTTATTGCTGGTTGGCTGGTGGTGAGATTGCTTAAGGGATTACTTGCATGCTAAGCCATTAATACCCTTTGCACAAGGTTGGGAGGAGGGGTGCAGAAACTCCTCTCTTTTAGGAGAGGAGAGAATTGGCTCACTTTTAAGTGTAACTTCCTCATATCACTTTCCATATCATAAAGTACTCATTCTGTCTGCATAATATAATTTGAAAGAAGTTATAAAACTTGGGGTATAATCTTCCTGAATTTGGCTCCATTCCAGAAGCACTTGGTGATGCCCTATTGGTAAGGTAAGACAAAGTGGAAGCCTTTCCTTGGAAAGGTGTCCTTCCTTGTGCCATCTCATCTGTTCTTGCTTCAGTCACACAGGGCACACTCAGAACTCTAAAGATCACTTTCTGAGATGAAATTTCAGGCTCATGTTTTCTGTACTGGTTTTGTGCCGGTGGGCATAAGTTTATTCAGAGAACATCTTATCTGTACAAGAAGAACTTGAACCTTTCTTGACTGTTTTCATGCTTTGGTTTTGTGTTGTCATTTCCACACTAGTAACAAGAACTATGAACTGCTAAGGGGTCTGAAACTGTGTTCAGTTTTGGCTGTACACTGTACTAAAAAAAACAAGTCTTGCTCGTATATAACAACCCTTGAAAGTTTTTGTCGGCTATTCCTTCTGGAATGATTGTCTTTTTGGCTCAGAGGTGTTTGGGTGCAGTTGCCTGAGCTGAGGGGGAAGGTCTGTGCACATGCATTTGGACAATAATCCTCAAGGCCATCGCTATTGTTGGAAAACTGGCTGCAATTGTGTGTTACTGTAGTGACAAACTGGACGTGACCTCAGCACAAGTCTTTAAAATACAGTTTCTGTTGTACTTATGAAACATCCCCTCTGTCATTAGAAGTAAGTTAAAGAATAGTCTGAGAATGATGGGTCTGGTATGCAGTGTAATTTTGGAGTATCAGGTAGTTCTGATAAGCCTTTAAGTCTGTAAATTCTTTTAGTTGCCTAAACATGCTTCGAAAAGTTGAAAGTTTGTTTTCGAGCAGGATCTTAGGCCCCTACAGGCACTGTTAACTCTGCTTGAGTTATGTTTGTAAGTCTGCAGGGCTACACCTGAGGCAGGAGTGTAAGGGAAGGAGGAGATGTTTGATTTGATACTTGCTTTCAAAAAGAATTAGTGTCAGTTACAACTTTGGTTTTGGAAGAAAAATTTGGAATGAGGCATAAAGGAGAAAAGGTGAGGTTGTTTGGGCAAACAGTTTTGGGCAAATAAAACTGAGCAGCACTCTAGAAGCGTTGCCTTCTGTATCAACCTAAAGGTACAGTAATCTTATATTTTTCTAGTGAGAAAGTCAAATGGAAACCAATTTTACTTACAAAGTAATTTAAGCTATGGCTTGCCAGCATCTACCATGTTTTAGGTGTGACAGATGTTTTAGGAGCACCTTATGAATTAATTTAAGTGTCATATTTCAATTCTGTTAAGCCTCAGTTAACAGCTACTCTTTGGTCATCTTGTTAAATTAGAGACTGAAAGAAGGGAATCGAATCAACCATCTGTTTCTCCTGGGTCTGCCTCAGTAGCCTCAACTGCTTATAGACATCTGCCAGTAGTATCTATGACTGTTGGCAATAATTCCAGAATAAAACCTGGGGAAGGGGTTGGTGATTGAAAACACCAGAGTTCCGCAATTGAAAGGACAAAAAAATATATGGAACAGGAGATGAGGATTGATTACTCCGTGGGTTACTCTCTGCTTGGAAGAACTAGAAAATTGTATTTCAATTTCTGAACTGAATGAAAGCTTCAGTTTCTGCATGCTGCATTTAAAGTCCTTCATAAGCACAAAATAGGTTTTCTCCTTAGGCTTTTGGAGCCACATAAGTTGTGGTGGTGTGTACATGTCTGCTGTCCTGCTTGTGGGCTGTGGCAGCGTAAGAACAAAATGATGACAGTTCTGCAGCATGGTTCTCCGCTCAGTTAACATCTGTTTTGTATTAAATACTTAGCTTTATGTTGTATTCCTCTCCAGCTTTTAGAGCTGTCTCAGCCAGCCAGATGCAGTAAATAACAGGGCTGAAAAGATAAGTTTGCACTTTTCTTTCCGTGGCAGGACAAGGCACTTCACCTGTTGCCTTGGATGCTTGGGTTTGTACTGAGAAGCAACACGTCGTTCTGTGTGCAGTGCTGGCTTGACCTCTCTGCCTTCTCTTCTTTATCCAGACCATGGAGCTGAAATGGCTACTGTATGTGACCCTGCTAGCTCTTGGGATCCTTGCTGCCCAGGCACATGATATGGATGAAGACAACGATGCTGATGATGTAGTTGATATCGAGGATGACTTGGACGATGGCATTGAGGAGGTAGAAGAGTCAAAATCTGAAACAAGCAGTCCTCCTCCAGCTCCAAAGGTTTGACATGAACCTTTTTTTAAAAACTGAATTACTGCTTGTGTTGAGGTTAATGTGAGTCTGATCAGAGTTGTCTTTACTTTACTAACCTTTAATATGTTGTGATGTTATTAAAGATGTTATCTGGGAGTAGGGCTTGGATTTAAGCTTGGGGGCTTTGTTTCTGTTGTCATGTCCCTCAGATTCTTCCAGAAGACTTAGATCTAACCTTGGAATGTGTGATGTGATTATCAGGAGTTAACACTAATATTCTCAGCTAGGTATATACTTGAGTTTTAATTGAAGGCAAGAGCACTACAGCTTGGCACAAGCAGCAATATTTATGTAACTTCTGTATTTATGTTGGAAGGGCATCCAGGAGAGCTGTACTTGAGTATAGAGGAGGAATGTGAGCTTTATGTGCCTGTATTTCTGAAGGGAATTTGTCTTGAAAGGTGCATAAGTGCCCCTCTTTTCCAATAGGTTACCTACAGGCCCCCAGTCCCAACTGGTGAAGTGTATTTTGCAGAGTCATTTGATAAAGGAACTCTGGATGGGTGAGTATAATCTGAAGGATGATTCAGTACAGCAAACAACTTAAAGTCTTTGTGAAAGGCAATGAAACCCTCTCTGCAGAGGTGGTGTTATTCAAAACTGAATCAAAGGGCCCTGGTTGGTGAGGATTTACAGCACTGCCTTCTTGAGGCTGGCTGTTAAAGTGCTGGACTAAAGCAGTATTTCCTTAAGCTCTAATAACAAGGGGCAGGTGAGGCATACAAGTGTAATGGTTTAATCCTCATCTGACTTTTACTTTCCTCAGGTAAATGTGTGGATGGTGAGGTACTGTTTTTACTTTTTTGAACAAGAGTGGGACGCTCTCTCAGGAGGCCATGATCCTGCTTTGGGGGAGGGAAGTGGCAAATGCAGAAAAGTTTGCAGGCTTGGGAGTAGAGCTCCGTGGGGGATCAAGACACTGGGGTGTAGTCATAGGACAGCAAGGGATGTCTTATCTTAAGGGCAGGATTTTTAGTGTGTGTAAGGGAGAAAGGATGGGGTTTTGACCATTGGATGTCTGTCCTCTAGATGGATCCTTTCCAGAGCCAAGAAAGATGATACAGATGATGAGATTGCAAAATATGATGGTGAGTTAAATCCAGGTTTTGGATGATAAATGTTTCTGAAGTCGTTTGTCATATCTGAAGAAGAGGTGCAAGGCTTTCTTTTTTGTTTCCCAACTAAAATATTCATTGGAGAAAATGGAAGGAGTATTTATATACCTGGCTAACAATATGAAGTTCTAATTTAGACAAATGGTCCACTTGGAGATTTTAGAAACTGGTAACATTGGGTTAATTTCTCCCCAGGTAAATGGGAAGTCCAAGACATGAAGGACACTAAGCTTCCAGGAGACAAAGGGCTTGTACTGGTGACCCGAGCCAAGCATCACGCGATTTCATCCAAACTTTCAAAGCCATTTGTGTTTGATACCAAACCCCTTATTATACAGTAAGTAAAGGATAACTTGGTGTTCTCTTGTTTCCAGAATGACAGGACAGCAGGCTGAGGTTAATTCCATAAATGAGCTGTTGTTGACTGCGGGTCTACATGACACAAGATGTTGTAACCTGTTATAATATTTAAGTAAGAGGAGAATAGTAACCCAGATTCCCAAAGGGGAAAGTTGGGAACAGCATGGTTCTTTTTGAACATGAAAAAGGAAGAAATCTGTGTAAACTAGACTTGGTAACCTGTCTTATGGCTTCAGTTCACTTGGTTTAATTGTAGTAACAAGGTCAGGCAAGTGACTTTTGTACTGCTAATAGTGGAAGTCCTTGTCCTTTTGAACAAAAGCTGGTCTGTATGTAGGTCAGTGCACTTCATTATGCAGTAAACTGCCCCCTGTTTCTGAGGTGGAGTGGACATAGTGGTAAAGATGCACTTGTTTCCTCCTTCCTCTGTCTTCATTCATTTGCTGGAAAATGAACAGCTTGTGTAGTTCTGTTTGGCCACAACCAATGTAGAAGAATCTACCTGGATGTCTGTTAGACCAGCAAGTCAGGGGAAAAAATAATTCAGTGAGAACAATTGAATTATGGTTTATTACTGACTTTATCAGTTTTAAACAAAGAGTAAACTAATTCATATTTGCACAAGATAATGAGTTGTTCACTTTGCTTTGCATGACTGTTTAGTTTTGGCTCAAAATATGAGGCTAAAAATAAATTCCAGTGGTCATCCATTCCAGCTGCTGGCACGCATACATAGCCTATTCCTGACAGAGATGTTTCACCTTTCTTCAGACTCCTTGGCATCCCTAAATGTTCTGATGTATGCTTATAACCCTAAAGGGGCTTATCCTAGGACCTAGTTGTTTTTCCTTTGGTAGTCTTGCAGATTGAGTTGTCTGTCTACCATGGTAGTTGTGGGCAAAATAATTGTCTCACCTCAATCTCTATTGGAGTGCCTGATATATTGGAAAGCTTTTTCTTCCTTCTTTCTACTTATAGATCATAATCTTCTAGACCAACACTCAATTTCTTTAATATTTTCTGTCAGGTTAAGTCTTCTAAATCTTCAGTTTTTATTTTTTCTGAGGCCCTTGTGAATATTTTCTCAGTCCTTAGAGTGTAGTGTGTATTTTTAATATTCACTGGGCAAGTGATTTAAAACAAACAAAACCAGAACAACCTTGCTCTTAATTTGTACCTAAAAATTGTAATTGTGTATTACAAAAGTAATTTTTCCTCCTGTATAACATGTTCTCTCCCCTTTCTATCCAAAACTAAAATTAGGTATGAGGTAAACTTCCAAAATGGAATAGAATGTGGTGGGGCCTATGTGAAATTGCTTTCAAAAACCCCGGAGCTGAACCTGGTGAGTAATGTTACTACTTTGAGTATTAGCTGTGAAAGAAAGGTTTTTCATTTTGCTTCTTCCTGAAGAAACCTCTTCAGTGAAGGCAGTGGGACCTGATTGCCAAAGTACTTTGCACTGAGCGTTTTCCTGGTGTTTCCAGTTGGAGAGGATAAATACTGAAATGTAATGGCCCCTTGAGTGGAAACTCTGGAGTTCCCTGGTAGCTGAGCAGTTGCAGACCTTTTCCAAACTCTGCAGCACTTCAGATTTCCCTGGACTGTAGGACCAAGGAAAAAGTGCTTAGGAGAGTAGCCCATGTATGAGGAAAAGTCTCTTCAGGAAACTCAGCACAGAAGGAAGATTCCATGTTTCATCTTCTAAAACAGACTAATGCAGATAACTAAAACTATGCCTTGCATTTTTGCCTTGTCTTTGACATGTGAACCCATGGGAGTTACTGGGTATATTTAAGTCTTGAGAAGTTGGACTGGATACAATCTCACATGTTCAGCTGCACACATGACCTATATAGAACTATTTGTGTTTCATAAATGACCCTTGAATGCACTGTCTTAAAATTGCGGTCGATGGAAGAGACTGTGATACCAACCCTAAGGCTTAAGAATTGTTTTATGTCCTCTCAATCATACACTTCCCTTGAAGTGCCTCTTCAGACAAAGCTGAACTGCTGGGTCACCTTGCACAGGTTTTTGTAGCCTGTGGGTTTTCTTTTGCCTTCTTCCTAGACTTTATAGGACATACCTTTTATGGCTTGTTACCCATCCTTCTTCTTTCCTTCTGCAGTCTCATTGGAGTTGTATTATTAATAGAGATTCCAAAGTATTAAAAAAAAATCCAAAACAGCCACAAACACCCAGAAGATTTCTTGGCTGCCCAATCAGTTTTGTATGTGCATTGAATTTTAAAATAACATTAGCAAGAACAAAGACTTGCAGTCAGTGTTCAATGGTGAAATGATTATATCCAGTTAGATATCAGATTGAGACTACCTCAGCCCATAAATTCAACTCGGCCTCACTTTTAGTGCTGCTTATCACTTTGTGTGAAAGAAACTGGCTGGACTAGCTACTCATTCTTTATTGCCAGTAACTGATACTTCTATGTTGATAGCTCTTGAAATACTTTATTGTAATATAGAGATATACTTAAACATTGTGGTTGTCACACTAATCTTTCTGATAACACTTATATAGCTGGTGTTTTCCATGTGAAAAGGGCAGACCAAAGGTGCAAAATGAAGGAGCTTTGATAATTCTGGTGTTTTTTCTAGAGGCTTGTGTGAGGAATACAAGCTTTAGTGTGGGGCTTGATATGCAAGTTGCAGAATAATTTCTAACGAATTAGGAGTTCTTATGGCAGGCAATGACTTAAGTTGTATTTCAAAATGATGGAGTGAAGTTTTGCATTGTTTTTAAAGGACCAGTTCCATGACAAAACTCCATATACAATAATGTTTGGCCCTGACAAATGTGGAGAGGACTATAAATTGCACTTCATCTTCCGGCACAAAAACCCAAAGACTGGCAAATATGAGGAGAAACATGCAAAGCGTCCAGATGCAGACCTGAAGAGTTACTTCACTGATAAGAAGACTCATCTTTATACTCTAGGTATGGTGACTGTTAAACGTGCATGTTAATAACTCCAACGTTTCCTGAATCAAAAGCTCATAAAGTGAGCAAGATAAACAACTGAGTGTTTGTGGCAGTGCACTGTACAACTAAAAACCACTTGAAAGCTTCAAATGCAAAAACTGGACATCTCTACAAAGGCTTATTTCATACTTACAGGAGGTCTGGTTTCATATAAGAAAGGTCATGAGACCTTAATACTTAAAGGAGAACTGAATTTCAGAGCAGTTTTCTGAAATAATCATCAGCATTTATGAACTACCTGAATGCTGCCCCTCAATAACTTGGGATACAGTGTGCTTTAGATTTAGAGGCAGAGTGTTGGTCTTTTTGCTGTTTTTGTAGTACCAGACAAACTCAGGGGTTCCTGAAATAGTGTCTGCTATATTAGCTCTGACTAAAATCTTTCAAGGAGTACGTTAGCTTTTCCTACTGAATAAAGTAGTGAGATTAAAATCTTGTTAGTCAGTAGTAGGAAGTCTTAGTCTTGAGTAGAATGTGAATATATACATTGTTACTACTAAAGCAATACTTACTGTGCCAAAGTCAACTTGTGGTAACTGCTAAAACACACTACAAACCTCTCTGTGCTTATAGCATGTTTAAAGTAGGACTCCTGCCATGAGTCTGCTTTCTCACAAGGTGAGATGTGGTACATCACCACTAGTTATACTTTGGCATAAGGAGAAAGGTCCTTAACAGTTCTTTAAAGCAGTTGTTGGGTAGGTGGTAGCTTGGATTGTACAGTGGGGATGAGTGATGCTTTATGACTCATACTTTGTATCATATATGGAATGACTACAACAACTTTTTTCCTTATAGTCTTGAATCCTGATAATAGTTTTGAGATACTGGTTGATCAAACGGTTGTCAACAGTGGGAATTTGCTAAATGATATGTCTCCTCCTGTGAATCCACCCCGAGAGATTGAGGACCCAAATGACCAGAAACCTGAGGACTGGGATGAGAGACCAAAAATCCCAGACCCAGATGCTGTTAAACCAGATGACTGGTAAGCTGATAGAGGGGTGGAATTGAGGGAGTCCTTAGCCTGATAATTTGGTCCTGATCAAAGTTTCTCTCAGATATCTTACAGAAGGTTTTGAGTCTTGTCCTTGTAATCAAAATACAGTCAGTTTAGGCATCTTAGCAGTACTTTGGTAGACAAAGGCAGACAGGTTCCACATCCTCTGGGAGTTTCTATTTAGTGCTCCTGTTATTCTGTTGGCCACAGACAAAGATTTTACAGAAACACCTATGCTAGCTGTTGCTTTCATCCATATGAGATCCAAAGATGAGCTGTAGAAGGTGTAACTGAAAGCTGTTTGTAGTTGTTTGTGTAATGCCTTAGTTTAAAAGTGACTGAAAAATCTGATTCCCTAAATCAGAAACTGATCCTGGCTTTCTGTCTTTGAGCCAGTGCTTTGTGAATGACAGATTCAGTTTCAAGCTCAAGTGTGTGTTTGCAGTGACTGCCAAGATATGGGATTTGCTGTAATATCCTCTTTCTAGACTGGCTTTTAAAAAATTAGTATTACCTTGCAGTGGGCACCATGATGTGCCATGAGGCACATGTTTAAGGAACAGATTGCAGGGCAATTCCTTTCTGAAATCATGGCGTTACCCTGACAGAAGTGAAGGTGGCTGGCTGTCTACATCAGTGGGCTTGTTCAGAGTCTGTAGAATCATACCTTGGGGTTAAGAGCTCTTATGTGCTGTGTGTGTTAATACATAATGTTCTACTCTCCAGGGATGAGGATGCTCCTGCAAAGATCGCAGATGAAAACGCTGTGAAACCAGAGGGCTGGCTGGATGATGAGCCAGAATATGTAGCAGACCCTGATGCTGAGAAGCCTGAAGATTGGTAAGTTTACTGCCTGTTGCAAGCAACAGCATATATTTCATGGCTTTGGTACTGACTTCTATGAGTATAAGAATACCTGGTTCATTGCCACTTGCTAATGAAGTTGCCCATTCAGGCTGTTTTGCTTCAAAAGAAGGCAGCAAAGTTGGTTTGAGGAGTTTTGTCCTGCATTCACTTCTGCATTTTTCAGCTCTTCTGTGATTTGAAGCAGAATGAACAGGGCAGAGATGTTCATCTTGCAGTTGTACCTACTTAGGAGGGGCAGCGGGGCAGTCTGTGCTCAGGGACTGGCTTTTGTTGAACTTCTGTGCTTCAGTTAGTCATTGAAATCCTTCTTCCTTATGCAGTATATGTGCTATACAAAGTTTCAGTATCTCCATTTTATGTTATGAGTATTAGTTTTCCTAGGACTTGCCTAAGTTTTAGGCTGTATGAAGGCAAGGGGTGGACTTCAAAACTGGATTTTCCGTTGCAGGGATGAAGATATGGATGGTGAATGGGAGGCACCTCAGATTGCAAATCCTAAATGTGAGGCAGCTCCTGGCTGTGGTACCTGGCAGCGCCCAATGATTGACAATCCAAACTACAAAGGCAAATGGAAACCTCCTATGATTGATAACGTGAACTATCAGGTTGGTGTTTTCCTTGCATAAACTGGTGGCCAATGCAGCATTTCTCTGACAAAAAGCAGTATGATTTAGATTCAGCAGGTGTAATTAAGAATTCAAATGCTGTTATAATTGCACTGTGTTTCAAGTGGACAGATTCAAAATCCTTTCTTACCAGGCTTCACTTCTTTATGTGGGTTTCCAAAACCTGCTAAGTTGCACCCATAGACATTGTAATTAAGTGCAAAGGATTGTTATTTCTCTCCATTCAAAATGGGCTGAGAACTAAAAGTTGTTTTCTGTTAGGTGAGGCAGAATGTCTTTTGTCTTTCCTAGGGTATATGGAAACCTAGGAAGATCCCAAACCCGGATTTTTTTGAAGACTTGGAACCTTTCAAGATGACTCCCTTCACTGCTGTGGGACTTGAGTTATGGTCCATGACATCTGACATCTTTTTTGACAACTTTATCATTTGTACTGAAAGAGCTGTGGCTGATGATTGGGCCAATGATGGATGGGGACTGAAAAAGGCAGCTGATGGTGCTGCAGAGGTGAGAGATGAAAGTTTAATTGTGCTGCTGAGTGGAACAGTAGAAGCATTGCTGCTGTTCTCTCCCACAGCCTGTGTCAGTGTATACCTGTATGTGCCAAGGCTGAGGGTTATGCTAAACCAGATTGGAGCCTTAATTCCTAATTATAGTATGGTAATGGTTGCTATAAGTAACTGTGAGTACTTACTGCTCTCTTTTGAGTTTTTGCTCTGACAATTGGATTGTTTAACCTAATTCTTAATTTGTAAACCATGAAAAAAGTACTTGTGCAGGTTAGCTTTAATTTTTTTTTTTTTTGTGGTATGAAATACAACGTTTAAAATTGCGAAAAGCATGTTTGAAAATTCTGTACCTTAAACTTAAGTGCTACAACTTGCTGTATGGGATGAAATTTGACAGTTCTTTTTGTCCTACAGCCTGGTGTTGTGGGCCAGATGATGGCAGCTGCTGAAGAGCGTCCCTGGCTTTGGGTTGTCTACATCCTCACTGTGGCTTTGCCAGTGTTCCTTGTTGTCCTTTTCTGCTGTTCTGGGAAGGTAATGCATTTCCTCTGATAATTAATGTCATGTTTAAAAAGAGGTTCAGTAAAATGTACCTTGATGCCACAAATAATTGCCTGGGTTTGACACTGTCTTTTAGAAACAGCCAAGTGCTGCAGAATACAAAAAGACTGATGCTCCTCAGCCTGATGTGATGGATGATGAGAAAGAGGAAGAAAAAGACAAAGGGGAAAAAGAAGAGGAAGAGGAGGAAGAGGAAGCAAATGAGGAAAAGCTGGGTAGGTAAACTAGATACTCTTGAACAATATTCTCCCTGACAGAATAAACCAGCAGGATTGGCAGACATGGAGTAAAGGCAATGGTGAACTGAAGATAGGTCAGAAATGGGAATAACTTTTTTTTTTATTTCCCTTAGAAGAAAAGCAGAAAGGTGATGCTGATCCAGGAAATGCTAGTCAAGAGGAGGAGGAAGAGGAGGAGGATGATGACCGGAAACGTGCATCAGAGGTTAGAGCCCTTGGTCTTTCAGGGAAACTTGTGCATTTTTTTCCTTAGTTTATGTAGAACAGACCTTACTACAGTGTTAAGAGTTAACCTGGCTCATATGATGCTCCCTCCCACTACCAGAACTTTGGAAAACTTATATGGCCCTGCAGAATAGGAATTGCTGTGGCCAACTTGAGCAGAACTGGGCACTTTGCTAAAGGCACTGTGTAGAGCCTGCCTTGACAGAGGAGTGGGACTGCATGAACTGCATCTTCTTGAGGCAAAAGGCTTATTCAGCTTTGTGTGCAGCCAGGATGTGACCTTTTAGTGTTCCCCACTGACATAATGGCTGACTTAAAAATGGGTGGAGTGTTGAAGTTAAAGGATTCTCCCAGCAGCAGAAGCTGTTGAGTGTTCCCAGCAAAGTGTACATCCACTGTGAAAACAAGGACTTGGCTGTTTGCCATAAAGTAGTTACAGCAGTAGGTCCTTTCAAAAAGTAAATCCTAATGTAGAAGTGAAAGTAGATTATTCTTTGTAGATCTTCACAAAATTGTTATTAAAGATAATCTTAGGTTTTATTTCAATATTTACGCAAATTACTTTCTTGCAGGAGGAGGAAACTGTGAATAGATCACCCAGAAACAGAAAGCCAAGGAAAGATTGAAAAAAGTCATAAGAACTTGATCTGTGATTTTTTTTTTTTGGTTTTTTTTTTTCTTTTGTTTTGAAACATGGTTCTGGGAGAGGACCTTGGACACCTTACATTGAAACTTGGACAAACCTCAAGATTTCACCATCCACAGGTTCCAGTCACACTATCCAATGTAATGGAGTGTCTAGCAGTAAAATATTTGCAATCATCTGTTTTAAAGAGCATCATTCCTGTAGAAAGAATGCATTTAATATAATGGGCTGTGGATTTTGGAATGTAACATAACTAACCTTTTCATTTTTGGTTTTAAATATTCTTTTCTGTTTTTAAGTAGATTGGTAGAATTTTTCCAGCCTCAAACCTTGGCTTAATTTAATATATTAATTAGTGAAATATAACAATGAATCTTGAAAGTGCTAGGTGATAATGCAGTTTTATAACTAGTTTTTTTTACAAATATGTAAATTCCTAAATGCACCAATGTCTTTATATCCCTTAAAATTTGGTAATTGTTTAAAGAAAAGTTGTCAATGTCTTTGACAACCCCTCTGCCCTCAAAAGAAAAAAACTAGGGGGGATGTATGGGGAAACAAGTAGTGAAACTGTAATTAATGAACTTCATTCTTTTGGTGGGGAGGGAAAAGAGGAAGAAGGGGTGGAAGGAGGGGGTTAGACAGTCTATAGCATATGATACTGTGCATGGCTAAAGCCCTGTTAAGTGTTGACAAACGATCTGGGATTTGGAGTGGGTCATGTTAATGTGGCATTTCATCCTGCAGACCTTGCAGATAACCGATTTTGTTTGTTCTTGAGCTCTTTTTGTGAAGCTGAGGGTTTGGGGGGAGGTGTGGTTAGGCTACTTCCCCCTTTCCCCTCTGCTCAGCCACCGATTCTTTCCTCTCTGTGTGAAGATACAGCTCTTCCTGAGAGCAGCTCTGCCTCAGTTGCTGAAGCACTTCATGTTCAGCTCATTGTCAAGCTCGATTTCATAGCTAGGCCTACTCCTTTCCAGGGTCCAAACACTGAATAAGACAGTGTCCCATATCCTCTCACTGTTGTCACTGTATGTCTACTGTAGAAATGGGGGAGGTAGGCAGGTACACAAGTTGAACTGAGTATTTGTTAAGGGAAAAAAAAAAGAAAAAAAAAAACACAACCAAGATGTCAGTATTGTAGGTGGGGAAGGAGCATGTGGAATATCTTAACTGGTATGTGAAACTGTTTAAGTCCTTTATCTGCTCTTCATGTAACAAGTGCATTCTAAATTATATTGTGAATGTTAGGGAGTTCCAATTCCAGCTGAATAAATTTTTTTAAAGCGTTGAGTCTACCACATTATACTGTTTCAAACACTTTTTTTGTGGAATGCAGGTGAGCACTACAAGAGCATTACCTCTGAAGGTGAAATGGATGTAATTCATTACACTGTACCAAATATGTTGGCGTTTGGATGTCTATATAGATAAACTTTTGCCTTTGTTTAGAGTGAAATTAAATGTCCTAAAATTACTCTTCTTGCACTGAATTTTAACACTCCAGTGTTGTTTGGTCATAGGATAGGTATAGTGTAGGGAATAATTCCCAGGGGCTGGGGAGGGAAGAGTGTTCCAATTACCTTGCAAACGATCTAACCAATTACCTTGCAAACGATCTAACCAATTACCTTGCAAACAGTCTAACCAATTACTAAAAGACTCTTGTTTTTGGTTTGGTTTTTTGTTTTTTTTTCCTGTAAAACACTTCTTGCTGCCTGTCCTTATGTTGTATCCCTTGGTTGTTGTGTTTGAAATACTAGTGATCACAAATGCATAGCAGGATTTCTTGATCTTTCTGCAGTGTGCAAATAAACTATTGTAAGCAAGATACTGGAAGTAATTTCAGACTTCTGTTGGGAGCTGTTGCATGTTTAGAATGCCTTTGCCTGTTGAACACCTGGTAAATACTGCTCCTTATTGCAAATATAGCTTATACTCTGACATGGAAGATGTCATAACTTAAGCATTGCTACTGGCTTGTTCTCAGGACTGTATTTTTATCAAGGAGCAGCTGCTATTTATGACTCTCAGTCCTTTGAGATGAAGTATGTGTAAATGGTTTCAATTCAGCTAACATTTTGAGCACAACATAAAAATCTATTAATCTAATGGTTTTTTATCTTAATATGCAAATTGCCTTAAACTCCCAAACGACCCATGTGCATACATGTTCTTTCAAAGCATCAAAAGTGAACTTGAGATCTGCTATCAGCTTTTAAATAGTATTATATTAAATCTAATTGTAAATCTACATTTGCTTCTGCTAAATCTCCTGAAGAAGTCTCCTGTCTGCATGTTATGGCTTTTTTTGATACCTTAGTGTATGCTTTAAATAATCACTACAATAAATGAAGACTTTCCAAAATGGATAGACAACTCAAGTTACTTTTTATCTTGCTTTCTGGCTTGGGTGCCTCAGTTTGACCTCAGGATTGCTCTTATTTTTAAAGTCTTGGAGGAAAAAAAATTAGTTATCTGCTTATCCTGAGTGCTTTTAAAGCATAACTGTGTGTTCTAAAGTAGTGAAGCTCCACCTTCGACTGGGTTTGGAAGTGTTACAAAGTCTTGAAGGTGTATTTGGGCCTTTTGTGTCTGTGCACCCAAGGGTGGCAGCTCTTGAAAAGGATGCTGAGCTTGATGTGCTGTGTCTGAGGATGAGGGGGGTGTGTTAGACAGAGGTGGAAAATAAAAACCAAAACCCATGGGCTCTGAAGAACATGAGGCAGCAGAAGGGCTGGGAACAGTTTTTCTCCTGGAGCTGATGCTTGGTCAGGGAGTTGATATTAAGGATGCAGCTAACCAACTAACCCTTCCCAAAGCATTGCTGGGTGTGATCTGACCTTGCTGGGGCTGGTGCAAAGTGAATTGTCACAGCTTGAGGCTGTGACCTCTCAAGTGCATTTTGAAGGTCTGTTTATAAGATTGACTCCAGGGCCCGAGGAGGGCTGCTTGCTAGTGCTGACTGCTTGTAGTTGTACGTTTCCGTGGTTGTCTCTCCTTCCTTACTCCTTCCTCACAAGCTCAGCTCCTCCTGTGAGGCTGTGGGTATATCCCTGGGTGTGATGCCCACTCTCCACATCCCAAACTGGTGGTAAATGCCACTTCTTGCCTTGTGGTTTCAAAAAGGGGTTTTTTTGGTTCACTTTTTTTTTTTTTTAGTGTTGCTGAACAAGGACTGTGATTTCATGTCCCTTTCAAACAGGTACTTGTAGATGCGACTTGAAAAAAAAAATGTAAAAACTAATCAATAAAGAAACTGAAATCCGTTTGGCTTTCTTTGTGTAATTAGCAAAGGTGCATCGGGTGCCGGTGAGGTGAGCGGTGACTCTGCTCCTCCTGCGACGGGCAAGCTCGCTCGCAGTTTGACCCGAAAGCGGAGGTCCTGCAGTGCAGAACCCTGTTTGGAGAAGGCTTTTCCCGGGACACCGGGACCCTGAACTCGCCGGGACGGGACGGGGCGGGCTCCGCTCCATGCCCGCGCTCCCTGTCAATCACCGCTGGCTCCGCCCCCGTCGCTCCTAATTGGCTGTATCGCGGTCGCCCCGCCCCTTCCCTACCTGTACCCTTTAAAGGCGCCGGGCCCCGCCCCCCGATCGTCTCCACCACCTCATTCGCGCCCCCGCACCTTTCTACTGGCTGGCGGGGCTGTCAATCACGGCTCGTGACGCGCCGCGCGCCGTGACGTACCCCCCACCCAGGAAGCTCCGCCCCCTTATTCTCAACTCGGCTCTGGAGGGGAAAAACAGTTCCAAGATGGCGGCGGCGCGGACAACAATGGGGGGCCGGGGGGCCGGGCCGGCCCGCGCCTCCTGAGCGCCGCGGCCGAGGCAGCGCGGCGGCCCCGCGGGGAGCGCAGGGCTGAGCGAGAGCGGCGCAGCGCAGCGGCGCCGGGCGCGGCGGAGAAGGAGGAAGTGGGGCGGGGGGGAGCGAAGCGGGCGCCGGGCCGGGGCAGCGGGGGGAGGAGGAGCCGGGGCGATCCCGGGGGGGAGCGCAGGTAAGGCCGGCGGGAGGGGCGGCGGCGGCCCCGCCATGGCGTGCGCCGGTGCGAGCAGCCGGTGAGCAGCAGCAGCAGCAGCCGCGGCGGCGGCCGCCCCCTCGCCGTCCGGCCCATGGTGCTGCCCCCCTGCCCCATGGCGGAGTTCGTGGTGCCGCGGCACAGCGCGGTCATGGAGCGGCTCCGCCGGCGCATCGAGCTCTGCCGGCGGCACCACAGCGCCTGCGAGTCCCGCTACCAGGCCGTGTCCCCGGAGCGCCTGGAGCTGGAGCGCCAGCAAACCTTCGCCCTGCACCAGCGCTGCCTGCAGGCCAAGGCCAAGCGGGCCGGCAAGCACCGCCAGCCGCCCCCGGCGCCGCCGCCGCCCGCGCCCCCTCCGCCCGCCGCGGCCGCCGCGGGCAGCGCCGAGAGGAGCGGAGCCAACGGGCTGGACGGAGAGGCCGCCAGCGCCGAGCAGCACGGCCGCAGCAGCGCCCTGATCGCGGTAAGGCCCGCGGGACTGCGGCTGGGGACGGGGAGGGACCGGCGGCGGTGCCCGGCTGGCACCGGGAAAGCTCCTCGGGAGCTGGATGGAGGAAGGAAAACAAGCTGTGGTGGCCCGCGGTGGGAGGGCTGAGGTTGGTGCTGCTTTGCTGTACTCTGCTGTGTTACAACTTCGCAGCTGATAAGAGGTGTTTTGTTTTCACTCGTCACCTTTGCACGCTGGAAGAGCCCATAAAAGCTGCTGCCTGATGGGGTAGGGGTAGTGCCAGCCTTTCTTTGATTGTTACAGTCATTCAGAGCAGTTACTGAGTTATGTTTCTGGCTAATTCACCTAAAATGTCCCTGCAGAAACTGTCAGAGGGGCATTAATACTGCTTTGGATTTTTTGTTTGCCTGCTTATGTCTTTAATTTAATCTGTCAGGGTTTAGTGGAATTGTTTGATCAGAACATGATTGTTACTCGGTGAAGTTTTAAGACAAATAATGTGTCTGTTAATTCTGGTACAGATTGGAAAGATTTTCAGTGGAAAGGCAGCTGCTTGTTTGTCACTCACTCTAGTGGGTGTGAACACTATGGGAATCCCACTCCACCCATTAAAAACTGGCTTAGCTCAAAATCTTCATGTTTCTCTGGCTTCTCTAGCATTTCTGGTTGTCAGGACACATTCACACAGGCCTGTTTGTATATCAAGATAGCTATTGCTTAACTTATTCTGGGCCCTTTAAATATACTGCTGTGTGCTAATGTGTCAGTAATGTAGGTTAGTAGGATAACCTCTTAAAGGCTGCCTGTCTTAATACCTGTCTGCCTTAAAACCAGGCATTTTTAAGTGGTGGCCTGCATGAAAATGATTGAGTACCATCCTGAGTGTCTTTAAAGGAGAATACTGCATTAATCTGAAACATTGCCAGGTTAATATGTAGAATAAACCATGTTTTTAGGGTGGTCTGTGTGTTTAATTGGATTAGAAGAGAAGGAGAATGTAATTCTCTGTTGTCTTGGACCTCATGTACTGTTTTTAACATAGTATCATGATAGAGTTTACTGTATACTTGTGTATCCTGGACATGATGTGAAATATTGAAACATGGGGTGTATCGATGTCATATTTAATGTAACCAGCACTGGGCAGCACCAGTGCAGTTTGCAGTATTTACAGGATGAGCTGAAAGTGTTACTTAGCTGAATTGTTTCTGTTCTGCCTGATACACCTCTGAGACTCTAGGACTTGCTGACTGTTTAGAAGAGTGAGGTCCTTGTGGCACAGTTAGAGCACTTCAGGGGGCTGTTACAGAAAGGTGCTTGAGGCAGAGAGGAAACCCTGTGCATTCCTGACACTGATTCTGTAAAACTTTACAGTTAGCCGTTGTTTAACAGACTGATCTTGAACATAAACTCGTGTCAGAACAAAAATGACTCAAACTGGTATTTTATTATCTAAAGACTTGGCAGTTCTGTTTATTTCCTGCTGGGCTCTAAGGCTTTTTGCGTATGGGGCTTTACCCATTAATAATGTGTATTTTTGTTACACACAGAGCTCTTTAGCATATCAAATCCTGTCGTTTAAACTGCCACCACACGTCTTCATATTGACCTTCTAAAGAAAGATGTCACTAATTCATTGGTGTTGTTTCTCTTAAATCGCTGTGGATGTGGATTTGATCTAATTAGCATCCATTATAATGAGGGCTCTCAACAGCAGCAGGTTCTGAAGTGCACTGCACATCTGGGGAAGCCCTTGTACAGGAAGCTGCTGCCAGTGGCCAATTTACACAACAGAAGAGGGTTTTAGTGTATGAATGACTCTTC